CAAGTCAGCTGGATTGGTGGTATCTTAGTGTTTATTCTGAACCTGTGATGTAGTAAGAAATACATATTTGGTCTCTGCCTCACTCCTGCCCTCTTCCTGGCACAGAACTTCAAAAACTCTTGGAATTTCTTGAGTGGTGAGAGGGGTAAGAGCAGCATCTTTTGTTATTCATAATGTCCCTTTCAAAGATACCTGAGTTTATGTAACTGACTCTTGGAGATGGTGATGGGGGGCTAGAAACCAGGGAGCCAACCCTGGGATTAGAAAGTTGAAACTTTCAGCACCCCCTACTTCATCTCTAGGAAGAGGAGATAGGCGGAAGATTGGCTTAATAACCAGTGATTTAATCAGTCAGGCCTATATAATGGAACTTCCATAAAAACACTAAACAGAGTTTGAAGAGTTTCTGCGTTGGAGAAAGCATCCATGTGTCAGGAGGGCGGCAAACTCCAACTCCTGGGAGACAGAAACTCCTGTGCTGGAGATCCTTCTGGAAGCTTGCCCTATGTACCTCTTTATCTGCTTGTTCATTTGTATTGTCTATAATATCCCTTATACAAAATGAGTGATAATGTTTTCCTGACTTCTATGAGTTCTTGTAACCAGTTATCCAGGCTGAGGAGAGAGTTGTGGAAATCCCTGATTTGTAGCCACATCAGACAGAAGAAAGGGTACCTAAGGGACCTGAAGCAGGACAATCTGGTGGGACTGAGCCCTTAACCTGTAGGGTTTGTGCTAACACCAGCAATTTCTTTTGGGGTGCCTGGGTGCTTCAGCCGTTAAGCTAAGTCTGCCTTCGGCTCAGGTCATGATCTCAGGATCTTGGGATCCAGCCCCCGCCCCCGGCTCCTTGCTGTGTTCCCTCTCTTGCTCTCTCTCTCTCTGTCAAAAAAATAAGTAAATAAGTAAATAAATAAATAAATAAAATCTTAAAAAAGAGAGTTTTCTTTTAGCCCCCATTTCTCACACGAGTGTGTCTCAAATCCCCAAACAAACATCCTTAAGTCTGGGCTTTGGCCTTGTGCCCTCCTGGCACAGGCCAGTGCTGCCTTCTCTCCAGCAGAGGGCGCACTCTCCACTCTTGGGGACTGGAAGTTCAAGATTGGGCAGTCTCCGAAACCAGGCTCGGTTGTATCCCAGAGAGGATCCAGTCTCTCGTTTAAATATGTAAATGTGTACTTAAGACCTTCATATACTTTCACACTTTGTTACATCCCCCTGGGGGGACTCCCCTTATCTGTGGTCACTTTCTCTTGGAGACACTCTTTCCTGGGTAGAACCTGTGCCTCACCCAACCTATAAACTTGACCACAATCACATGGTGACTTTAACCAATTAGCCAAGTGGCTGTAGACTAAATAGTAACATTGGCCTTACAAAACAAGTAAAAACACTGACAAAGATTTAGCCTCCCCCACCATTTTTTAAAAACCATTCTCAAGATGGCGTCAAATTTCTAAGTTTTCTTACCACAAAGCTTCTCTTTAAAAAGATCTTTGAACTTTTTCTATAGATTGAATTTGTAGGTTCCTACCCCACTGCACAGAAGGCCGTCCGTGCTCAGGGTAGCTGGGGGAACAAGTCCTTCAGGGCAGGGCCACAGTGTCCCTCCTGCTCTCTGCCAGGACCTGTCCGTGCCCTTCCCTTAGCCAAGCCCCTGCTGGGCTTAGATGTCCTGATGCTGCCCTTGCCCCCCCCCCGCCTGAGTGTCTCTTTCACCAGAACCTCGGCTTACTGGCTGGTCTCCCCACAGCACAACACCCCCCGCCCCAAAAGATGGTTGTTGATCCTGGAGCAGCGCGAGTAGTTGTCAGGTGCTAAGTCCAGCACCTGAATGAGAGAAGTAAGAACGTGCCCTTACTCCCTTTTGGGGGTGAATTAAAAAAAACTTTGTGCTTCAATTCTCAACGCCAGAGAGTACCCTCCCAAAGGCCACCCCGTTATTCTGACGACTACTCATTCTTTTTCCCTTCACCCACCACCTTGTTCCTCCCCAGTAGTGCTCCCTTTGTTCATTGGCAGCCTGCACCAGGCCGCATGCCCGTGATGGGCTGGGGCACTCCCGCCCACAGACTTCCGGGAGGCGGGGGTGTCTCAGCCACTGCTTCCCTTTTTCAGGGAGGATGGGGGAGTGGGGGGGTATGGAAATGGGGCCTTTCCCCAAGTGACTGCCTTGGGCCTTTCCTTTCTTCCTCTGGCCATTTTTGTTTGTTTGTTTGTTTGTTTTTGTTTGTTTTTTAAGATTTTATTTATTTATTTGACAGAGATCACAAGTAGGCAGAGAGACAGGCAGAGAGGAGGAAGCAGGCTCCCTGCCTAACACCCTGGGATCATGACCTGAGCCGAAGGCAGATGCTTTAACCCAGTGAGCAATCCAGGCGTCCCTCCTCTGGCAGTTTTATCTAGAGCTGGAGTGCGCGCACTTCTGTCACTGTCTCAGCCTCAGCCCCCCAGTGTGCAGGTCTGACCTTCTACCCCACCGCAGTACCATCTAGATGCCTGGGGCAGAGGGTCCCACCTACAGAGAAGAGGTGCTGCCAGGAGGATTTGCCCACAGGACCGTTTATATTGTGGCAAAGAGGAAGGCTGGAGCAAGTAGGGAAAGTCAGTCATCTTTGGCAATGTCTCCACCGAAGTCTCTGTCATTATAATCACAGTGATTGCTAACACGGAGCACTCAAGTGCGCGTCACGCACTGTTCTATGAACTTGACTCATTAACTCATGTCGCCCTCAGAGCAGCGCGATGCAGTTGGTAATGTTATCATTGACATTTTCCCGGGAAGGAAACTGAGGCACAGGGTGATGAAAGTAGCACAGTTAGAATATAGAGCAGGGTTCGAGGCAACTCAGTCCCCAACGCCAGGCTCTTACAACGCTTTAACATGCAAAATGGTGTTGGTCCCCCTCCCCGCCCGGCCAGGTAGGTGTGAGGCCCAGGCCAGGTAATGAGGTATTTCATTTCCAAAGCCTCAGTGATTGGTGGGGGAGAGAGAGCAAGAGGGCCAAACCCACCAGAGCTAGGGAGAACAAGGGCCTCTGTCTTTCCAGGAAGATGGCTGAGCTGCCTGGGAAAGGAGCCAGCAAGGGGGGGGGGGGGGGGGGGAGGGGCAAGGCTGGAGAACCCTGAGGACGAGGCTGAGCCCAGGATCCAGCCACGCCCCCTTGGCAATTGTGCTTCTTGGCTAATCCCTTCAGCTGATCTGGTTTGAGTTTGGTTTCTGTCCCTTCCAACCTTTCCTTTGGGTTGGCAGTGTCTCTCTCGGGCCTTGTGTGCCAGACAGTGGCACTTACCCAGTTCAAAAATTATTTGGGGAAAGTTTTGGGGTCTACCCTGGCGGTATTGTCACCTGTCCTCTGCTCTGGGTTCAGGTCAGGTTGACCTGGTCGCCGCCCTCTCCAACTGAGTTCGTCTCAGGCCTGCCTCAGCTGGTGTTGCTGTCCCCTCTATGAGGGGACACCAGGGCTCCTCTGTTTCCACATATGACTCAGTTGATCCTCTGAAGACCCTGGTTACTGGGATCTGATTGACAGTCTTCCTCCTCTGAAGCTTTTGCTTTCAGGATGAGGATAGTTCATGTCTCACCAATGGAAAGTGGCAGCTCCTTGAGAAGAGAGGGTAGACACCCCTGGTCTGTCTTTGCATCCCCTTGGAGCCTGCAACCCACTTTCTCCTGGGAGCCACCTGCAGGGTAGGGGTGACAAAGGCTTGCCTCTGGGGCCCTGGTGACATCAATCACTATGCAGGCCAGGTATGTCCCTCCAGAGAGGGCAGCTCGGCTGCTGCCCCTATGAGATGCAGAAATCCATTTTTTAATCCATAATTTTATGTTAAAATCCCCTGGTTTTTAAGTGTTAGCAATTAACACACAATTTGAGAAACACCGTTCTGGGGGCACAAATATATTGGTGGGTGGGTTTCAGCCCAGGGCTCCCACTTGCAGACGGCTGAGTGAAGGAAACCACGGCCAGGGCTGAGGCAGGGAGCTGTGCGGGGTGGGACCCGCATTTGGCACTGGGCCAGGGACAGGAGTGGGGTTGATGGGCTGCTCAGCGAGTCACATGACTGGTGTGGCACCATGTCCGGCCAGAGGGCAGGCTAGTGGCTTTCTGAAACAGGTGCTCCCTTTGCCACATAGACATTTATAAAGGAACCTGGGTCTAGGGTGGCCAACTCGTCACAGTCTGCCTGGGATTTTCCTGGTTTTAAATCTGAAAGTCCCACATCCCAGGAAACTTCTCAGTCTCAAGCAAACCGGGATGGTTGACCTAGATCCCTCTTCTGGCTGTGTCCCCTGCCTGCTGGAGGAGAGTCATGGCAGCCAGAATGCGTGAGCTCGGTGAGTACCAGACACCACGTGTTAGGTTCTGCATTGTTTCTCTTGTGTCCCCTGAACATTGTCATGGTGTAGATGACTTATCTACCCTGTTGGATGAGAACCGTTCAGAGGGTGAAGCAACTTGTGCCGGGTCAGTGACAGCACTGGGGTGTGAACGGATATTGGTCTGGCTCTGTCCTCTCAACCCCACTGGGGGGCCCAACCTGCCACACCAGCAGGGCCCCCCAGCCCGCAATGCCAGCAGGCACCCCCTCAGCCGGCCACGCCTCCGGCCCACCACACCAAAAGGCCCTGGGGAAAAGTCAGGTCTCACTTCCTCAGGAACCCACTTATCTGGTTGGAGGTCCAGCCAAGGTCAATGTTTGCAAGTCTGAGGCCCCCACGTCAGGCCCCCCCAGTCCTGCCCCCCAGTCCTGCCAGGCTCTTCTCTTTCTGGACTTCAGCGTCCACCCCCCCACCCCCTCCACCCCAACCCAACAGGACAACCCGAGAAGCCCTCAGGGGTCACCTTTCTGCACTTAGAAAATAAACGATCGCCAGTGCTTTATTGCCCAATATGGGGAGAGCCCGCCAGGGCAGGGGTGGGTGAGGGAGCAGGAACGAGGGAGCCGGGGTTCTCAGGGGCTGCTGAGCCAGTCCTTTAGGGCTCCTTGCATGGAGTCTAGTCAGAGTTTGGACTGGGGTGACTGGGAAGGAAGTGGGCGGTCAGGAACCGCATGGCGGAGCGCATGTGCTCTAGGGTCCTCTGCTCTACCCTCCCCAGCATAAGGGTGACAGAGCGCAGGGCCAGGCTGGGTCCTGCCATCAGCCCAGAGGAGAAGGTTCTCCCCAGGATGCTGGAGACGGAGCGCAGACTGGGCCCAGGGCTGTGCAGCAGGTCAGTCACAGAGCTGTGGCCAGAGGCCAGGAGGGCCGTGGCCATGCCCACAGTGGCCTCAGACCACACTAGGACGTCCGCCAGGGAGCTGATGGACCCCTCACCTCCGCCCAGCAAACTGGTCATGGAGCGCATGTAGGGGTTCTCCTCGCTGGCCATGTAAAGCCTGGGGTCTAGGAACATCCTGCCCAGTGCCACCCCTTGGGGGCCGGGTGAGGGCGGGGCACTGCCTTCTGGGGAAGGAGGCAACTGCAGAGCCTGCAGGTCTTCTGAGCTGTCCTCCAGATCCCCCTCAGTCACTGCCTGGAACCCGGCTCCCGGCAAAGCTTCAGTGTCAACGCTCAAGGCCTCCAGACCATCAGGTCCCTCCTCAACGGTGTCAGTGGTGCTGGTGGCCTGACTGCCATGCGGATAGTCCATGTCTGTTGTGTTCACGAAGGGCTGCGCATCCACAGTCCCGGGAAACTGTACCTCAGCCCCTGGGGCGACTGAAGCTAATTCTTGTTCTCCGCTGGGGACACCTGCCATTTGTGGGGTCTCTTCTTCCATCAGGGAGTCCCATTGGGAGCTCTGAAGACTCTGAGTTACACTCAAATCTTGCCCCAGGTCATCACATGCTGGGTCCTGGGGGACCGTGGACACTGGCAGACTGCTTGAGCCTTCCCTGGGCTCCTGGCTGTGCGTTCCAGCAGCTTCAGGCTTGTCCTCATCCCCAGATGCTGATGTGGGTTTGGAGGTCAATGACTCAATGGAGGCCCGATCTACATCATGCTGTTCAGGGGATGCTCCAGCACCGTCAGCCACAGGGGCCTCTGCAGGGAGGGGGACCTGATTTGCAGACCCCTCTGTGAGGCTGTCTGTGGATCTGCCGTCGCCATGTGTGGGGATGCTGGCAACTCTGGCCTCTTCTGAGGGTCTGCTGGTCATCTAGGCCCTCCGTCACTTGTGCTGTTGAGGGAGTGACCACGGCCCAGCTCTCCTTGTTCGGGTAGTGAGGTCACAGGGAGCTGTAGGCAGCTGGTGATGTCATAGGTAGCTGCACAGCAAGGGTCCTGAGCCTCTGAGTGGCTGCCCCAGTAGGCTGGGTCCACAGGACAATTTATTTACTTATTACAAAGTTCATTTATTTGTGTGTGAGAGAGAGCGAGCGAGCACCAGCATTGGGGAGAAGGAGAAGCAACCTTCCTGCTGAGCAGGGAGCATAATGTGGGGCTCGATCCTAGGACCCTCCAATCATGATCTGAGCCAAAGGCAGACGCTGAACCGACTGAGACACCCAGGGGCCCCACGGGACAATTTATAGCTGAGTTTGCAGGTATATAAGGAGAGAAAGGCAAATGCTTTGGCAAAAGAGCAGAGGTGTGTGTAAAGGGGCAGGTGCTGGTGCCCGGAGCAATCAGGGGACCCAGAGGGAGATTTATGATAAATGTTAGAAGGAGCCAGTCGAGGCATCTCTCTGTCCACTCTGGTGACTCAGGACCCGGATTGGGCCAGTCTTTCTGCAGAGAGTCAGTTTCTCAGCAGTGGTGAGTAGAAACAAGTGAGGGCTAAGAGCCCGGGCTGCTCCTAGCAATAACTGTCTGGTTGTGGGGTGCCATAGATGGAATATTTGGGTCCCACCCCAAAATTCATAGGTCAAATGTTAATCCCCAATGTAATAGTATTTGGAAGTGTTTAAGTTATGAGGGTGGGGCCCTCACAAACAGCATTGGTGTCCCTATAAAAGAGCTGTCTGGCCCCCTCCTCCATGTGAAATGCAGCCAGAAAAGGGCAATCTAGGGCACCTGGGTGGCTCAGTGGGTTAGGCCGCTGCCTTCAGCTCAGGTCACGATCTCAGGGTCCTGGGATCGAGTCACGCATCGGGCTCTCTGCTCAATAGGGAGCCTGCTTCCCTCTCTCCCTCTCTGCCTGCCTCTTTGTCTACTTGTGATCTCTCTCTGTCAAATAAATAAATAAAATCTTAAAAAAAAAAGAAAAGAAAAGAAAAGGAAAGGGCAATCTGCAAACCAGGAAGCCGGTCCTCACCATAAGCTGAACCTCGTGTGCCTTGACCTTGGACTTCCGAGCTTCCAGAACCGTGAGAAATAAATTTCTGCTGGGTGCCTGGATGGTTCAGTCAGTGGAGTGTGCAACTCTTGATCTCAGGGTCGTGAGTTTGAGCCCCACGTTGGGCACAGATTACTTTAAAAAATAAAATAAAATTCCGTTGTTTATAAGCACCCTCCCACCTGCCGCAGTTATAGTGCTCTGTAATAGCAGCCCTAAATAGACGAAATAGACTACGATAGAAATTGTACTGAGAAGTGGGGGGCTGCCGTCACAATCACGCAAGTGTGTGGACACAGCTCTGGAGCTGGGTGACAGGCAGAGGCTGGAAGAGTTTGACCTCCGTGGTCAGAAAAGCCTTCACTGGGAAGATCTGGAGAGAGCTAGAAGGGAAGGGAGAGCTGTGGAGAGCGAGCCTCAGTTTTCTCAGAGAAGCCCTAATAATCGTGAACCAAACGTTGGGAGAGACATGGGTGGTAAAAGCGTTTTGACATGGTCTCAGATGGAAATGGGGAGCACGTTATTGGAAACGGGAGGAAAGGTGATCCTTGTTATAAAGTGACAAAAAACTTGGCTGAGTTGCATTAGCATCCTTCTGTTTTCCAGAAGGTAGAACTTGCAGGCAGTGAAATTGGAAGAAAGTAAAGCAATTTATTTTCTTTTTTTTTTTCCATTGAGGCATTTTATTTGCGTGAATGTTTTACATCCCCCCTCTTTTTTTTTTTTAAGGATTTTATTTATTTATTAGACACAGAGAGAGATCTCAAGTAGGCAGAGAGGCAGGCAGAGAGAGAGGGGCTGAGCAGAGAGCCCAATACGGGGCTCGATCCCAGGACCCTGAGATCATGACCTGAGCAGAAGGCAGAGGCTTAACCCACTGAGCTACCCAGGCGCCCCAGCTATTCAGGTTTTATTTTTGCAGGTAATGTCTAGAAAATGAACAAAGGAACCCAGCTCGGACTGTCGGCTTAAGTTCAATATAATAATGAAAAAGGAATCTGTTGTTCCCAGGAACCTGTAAAGTCTAAGGAGAACTTCCCTACAGCAGGGCTCAGCGGCAATGTCAAGATTCAGTCTTCTCTCTCTCCCTCTCTTGGCCAGGGATAGATTTGTAGAAGATGTTGTCCACACTTAGGGTCCCGGCGACTCTGGGACCGCGCGGGATGCTGCTGGTTTGTAGTCCCAGCGAGCCTCGGGCCTGAGCCTTGTGGGCTCCTGGGTCCTTCTCTGAAGCCATCTCTATAGCCCGGGGACCACATCCTGGCTGGTCAGGCCTGGGGTGGGAGTGTGGGGTCAGCCCCACTGACACAGAAGGTCTTTAAGGGGTACTTGAGTGGGTCCCAAGGATTTTGGAGTGCTGTGACCAAAAGAAGTCCGTTGGATGCTGGGTGGGAAAAACAGACGAGATCCACTGTGCAGTCACAGACATGTAGAAGAAAGTCCACTGGGGACAAGCTGATAGGAAACAAAGTGACTTGCCCAGCAGCTATTCCAATTACTGTAACAAAATCAGAAAATACACAGAAGAAAGAATTAAAGGGCCCCCGGGTGGCTCAGGCTGTTAAGTGTCTGACTCTTTTTTTTTTTTTTAAAGACTTTATTTATTTATTTGAGAGAGAGACAGTGAGAGAGAGCTTGAGCAAAGAGAAGGTCAGAGGGAGAAGCAGCTGGGAGCCCGATGCGGGACTCGATCCTGGGACTCTGGGATCATGACCTGAGCCAAAGGCAGTCATCCAACCAACTGAGCCACCCAGGCATCCCAAGTGTCTGACTCTTGATTTAGGTTAAGGTCATGATCTCAGGGTCATGGGATTGAGTCCCCCACCCCCTTGGGCTCTGTGCTCAGTGTAGTCTATTTGTGATTTTTCTCATTCTCCTTCTGCTCCTCTCCCCATTCACATGCTCTTTCTAAATAAAGTGAATGAAATCTTAAAAAAAATTAAATAAGTAAATAATAAAAAGGAAAATCACCCTGAGTGATAGGGTGAGCTCAGTGAGTGGGAAGTCTGTTATTCCAGCCCCTACAAACTCACACACGCACCCTTCAAACACACAGAAATGCTGGATTAAGTACTGTTCACGATAGACTAACTACATAGCTAAGTTACGAAGAATAAGAGATCTCCGGGTTCTAGAAGGGTAAGCTTAACCAGAAGTGGAGGTGGGGATTGAGGTGAGTATAGGCTGAGGTCGGGAGTTTGGGACTTTCTAATGTTGTCAGAACAGGAGCTGTGGCTTTAAGGTACAAGAGAGGGCGCTGTGTGTGGAGAGTTTAACAAGTTGGGGTCCTGGGTCGGCTGCCCCCCATCAGTGACACGGACCTCAGCAAGGCCTGTCCATCAAACCAGACAGACCACTCGCTCTCTCTCATCCTTGAGTGGGCGTTAAAGTCACATGATAGCAGGAAACTTCTGCCTGCCTTGGAGTGTTGCTGTTGGAACTGGACCCAGAAGGGCTGCTTCCCCAGAACCTCAGATCTGCTGGGAATAACTGGTGAGCCCCCCAAACCCATCAGCTGTCCGGGGTGCCATCAGCTTGCACCTGCCCGCTGAGTGCTTTTCTTCTCAGCCCCGCCTTCAGTGACGTCAGCGGGCAGCTGGAAACCAGCCTCCGTGGGATTACTGACACCATGGAAAGTGGCTACCAATCAGGTAGGTTTTTAAAATTTACTTAAAGTTTTTATTTATTTATTCGAGAAAGAGAGAGTACTACCTGGGGGGGAGGGACAGAAGGAGAGGGAGAAGCAAGGTCCCCACTGAGCAGGGAGCCTGATGTGGGGCTCGATGAGGGGCTTGATCCCAGGACCCCAAGATCATGACCTGAGCCAAAGGCAGACGCCTAATCAACTGAGCCACGCAGGGGCCCCAATCAGGGTTTTGTGTTTTCCCAGTGAACAGGTGGTTTACCAGCAAACTACTGAATCTGATTACAATTTTTTCCCAATAGGGGAGGCTGTGTGCCCTGCCCTTGGAAGTGGACAGCCCTCAGGGTTCCCTTCTGAGGAACCCAGTGGGGCCCCTGGGTTCCGATCCTGCTATTGCTGTCCTGAGCTGGGTAACAAAGGCAAGTCACTTAAAATCACAGTGCTTCAGTCCCTCCATCTGTAAACTGGGGATAGTAAGTCTTCCCCTGTGGTGTAATTTGCTCTTTGTCCCGTGTTCCTGGCCTAGAGCTCCTTAAACCTATGGAATCTGGTGGTAGGGGTGTCTTGTGTTATTCGAGAGGAACCCCTTCTGACCATACCTGCATCTGTGGTAATGAGTTGGCTAGAGAGCTTGGGGACGGGACTTGTCTCAAGTCCCTGGAGAAACCAAGGCTTTGGAACTGGTAGCCCCAGCCCCTGACCTGGGGGTGGAAAGGGACCGGGGCATGAATTAATCAGGAGAGGCCAATGATTTCATCAATCATGCCTGCACAATGGAACTTTAATAAAAACTCAGAAACCAGGAGACTAAGGGAGCTTCTGGACTGGTGAACATATCCATGGGGGGTTGGGGGGCATCTCTGTAGGGGGAACAGAAGCTCCTGCCTCAGGGCCCTTCCCGACCTCACCCTATATGCCTCTCCATCTGGCTGTTCATTTGTATCTTTTGTACTAAACTGTAGTCCAGAGTACAATGTTTTCCTAAGTTCTGCGATTCGTTCTAGTGAAACCAAGGGGACCAGAGAGAAGTGCAGGTGGCCTGGGGACCTGTTTTCTGCTGGCATCTGGAGTAGGGGCAGTCCTGTGGGACTGAGCCCCTAACCTGTGCGGTCTGTACTGACTGTGTAGTTCCAGCTGGGGTGCGCCCCGCAGGACTGATGCCCGAATGTGAGGAGGCGATGGACAGAAAGCTCTCAGGAAGCCTCCGGGAGGGTTGGACAGCGTGTCCGCGATGACAGTCTGCTTGCCATCGGGGCTCATGGATGATTTGATCTTTC